GTTTGCAACCTCTCATTGAAGGTTCAAGATAACATCACAAGGAATACAGAGTACTATATTTGAGCAGCCATTTATCTCTCTTTTCGGTAACAATAGAATATTTGGTGTTACAGCCCTAACAAAAGTAGGGTGTGGGTACTCAAAAGTAGATATTGGTGTTAATGGGTAGGATACTTATGTGCATTATTAATTATTATATTACACACATGTATGGTTAATACATGTATAGATGTGTAGTTTGTTTATCTTCTAGACTCATATCGAAATTGCCTTTGTATGTTTAGGGGATACTGTCCTAGTCTGTGGGTGCCTGATTTGGTTTAGCCTAGTAGTATTTTCTGAATGTGTTTAGTCATGATGAAAAATCTTTAATCTAGGATGTCCCTAGTTAGTAACAAAAATAGTTCGCCAAGGTGACATCCTTTAATGAAGAGAGGAAGTAAGTATCCTGCCCATTTACATCTTTTTAAAAAGTATTTTGGATATCCTAAAATTTGGTTGTTCAAGCAGTACTTTGTGATGTGAGTGTTTTTTTTAAATATCCAAAGCCAATAAGCATATAGCTACTAGTCTTTGGCTTATGAGATTTAAGGAAGGATTTTTTTTTAAAACCTTCCTAATTAAAGAATTATTTTCTTGTGAGGTTTAGGTGATATTGAATTAGTAATAATAAAGAATTTAATTTGCTTACCAAACACCAAAGTTGTGAAAGTTTCTCAAATAAGCAATAAACATAATTTTTATCTTTTCTAAAACACTCAGAATGAGTTCTTTCCCTTAGTTCTTTAGCTGGTATATGTTGGAGCGTGATTGTACTGAGTATTTGAGTGTATGGGCCTGTTTGGTAACTGTTAAAATTTTTGGCTTTTGTGATGGTTTAATGCGTAGAATTTGCTTAAAGTGTGGTTCAAATGATCTAATGTGTTCAATTATCAACTTTCAATACATTTAGGCATTTTGCCAAAATATAGCCGCTGTGTTTTTATTTGTAGAATATTGATCGCAATTCATATAAACGAGTTTTCAAATAGTGCATCATTTATGTACTATTACTCTTATAGTTATAACCGGAGTTGCTAAACTGCTCTATGGCATGGTGATTTTCGACACAACCGCCATAACTTGTGAACAATTGGGAGATATGAAAATTTTGGTCCTCAGCCATTAACAAATTCGCTTCCTAGCAGCCCCTCCCATACCCTACATTCCTTGCTGGGTTTGAAGTCTGAACCATATCTTGTGTCGTGATATATATGCAGGAAGGGGAAGATACAGATGCGGAAGACGAAGCAGGTCAACGTGTGGGGCAGGTTGAGGTTGCTGACGGAGAAGAGAGCGATATGGAGGAGGAAGCGGAGGGTGGAGGAAACAGGGAGCATGATGAGTTAGATGGAGGAGGAGGAGGCGGAGGAGTTGAGGACGACGAAGAGGGTGACGGTGAAGTGCAAGAGGCGACTCATCCATCCCACCACCCAACAACAGTTCAGAAGAGGGGTAGAGATGCTACTGTTTCTGATGATCATTACCATTCCAAGTCTTCATCTTCATCAAAGAAGCACCATCATTAGCTAGAAAGGGAGGTTTGACTATTAATTAAACACGATGGGTGGCTTTGACTTTGTAGGAGGGGAGCTTTTAGAGTACTATATAGGCAGCCCCTTTTTTGCCTGTCTTTTTGTGGATCTACTTGCATCATCATTATACTCTTCACTGTCTCTCTCTCTCTCTCCCCCCTACAGTTTTGTTAGTTGCAAGCTTATTTCTCAGCAGGAAAAATTAGAAGCTGGTGACATGTTTCCTAAGTGAATGTTGTCTTATGTAGCTGTGTTCCCATGCTTCTTAGTGAAGATTATATAATCCATAATATGTATCACAACATTTTTATACAAGTTGCGATGCTCTCCTTTTTCTTTCTTCTCATGCATTTTGTATGATTTGGCATTTAATAAAGAAAACATCCCTTTTATCCTTATTTCCTTTGGATGGAAAAATTAACTTTTAACTTTTTTCAAATCTTTCCAAATCTTTTTGGTTTTGTCCAATAACATTATACATATACAATACACCACTTCAAACATGAGCAATGATGATTTCTCTTTTTTTATATCTAAAATTAGCATTTTCTTAGGTATTTATTTGGATGATCATTTAATTATGTGATTTTTGACACTTAAATTCTTCAACATTTTCCAACTCTTAGTTTTTTTTCTAACTCCGTCTAGTTTTTTCTAACATCTAATTATGAAATTAAATCTAAAAGAACATGACCTAAGACTCTTAGTCCTTGCATACAAGCAGGATTGTCAAACTACAGACATGAACGGTCGCTGGAATCTCACTTCATGGCCTGACAAGTGACGCTATTTCCCGATGTCGGGATTTGTGTCAGCATGACCAAACACCATATCACTGGTGACACCTGCAATACACACAAAATCTCTAATTCATAAATCTTGTCTGGGAATATTATTGGCTTCAAGAAGCACTCCCAGATGGAAAGATTATGTTTGGAATAGATTCACTCCTTTTAGATTCTAATTTGTGATCTGACTTTTGATGAGAGGGAGAATACAGACTAAAGCTAGATTTGGAAAATACATCAAGATTAACACTGATTGTGAATTATGTTGACAAGCTGAAGAAAATGATACACATCTCTTTTGGGAATGTCCAGTGGCGCAAAGGGTTATTACTACGTGCTATAGTAACTACAACTTACAAGTTAGTTTGGTTAAGATCCAAGACCCTGAATAGCTTACCCTGCTGAAAATTGGTAGTAGGCAGAGAAAACTGCAGGTAATAGCAATATGAGCATGATGTGTCTACAGCATACGAAGATTGAGGAACAGAAAGGTGCATCTCAAAAAATGCACCACGGATGAGGCCATTGATTTTGCACACTATTACATAAGTAGTTTTGTTCTATATAGGAAGAGTATGTAATATGGTCATCCCTCCTAGTATGTTTTATTGGTGCCATTGATTTTGCACACTATTACATAAGTAGTTTTGTTCTATATAGGAAGAGTATGTAATATGGTCATCCCTCCTAGTATGTTTTATTGGTGCAGATCAATGAAATGACTATATTGACCTTATATTTGTAGCCAGGGCTTTACCATGAATGATAGTTGTGCACTGTGTTGCTATTGTTGTGGGGGTTTTTTGAATGACAAAAAATAGAAAAAAGAGGTTTGAAAGAATGGGAGGTTAGTGATTTTTGAAAATGGGTGGGTAGTGTATTATGTGTTTTTTCTGCAACTTAAAATATGAATAGTATTCTAGACTAAGCATAATGTCCTGAAAGGGCAAAAGGGCAGATTTGAGAGTTTGTATAAAAAAGAATGCTATTAAAAAGAAAAAAAGAGGCTAGTGTTATTTAGGTAAACTCCATATGTTTAGGTGCAATTTTGAGTAAATTTCACTTAATAAATTTATGTTTCATTTATCTTGATCGTGGTAAACGAAATAAAATAGTATAAAAATTTAGCAAAACTATTTTTAAAAATGAAAAAAGCTATTTAAATAAAAAAGGTGATACTCCATTAATAAATTTAAAATAAAAGACCGAAAAAATCCAAAAAAAATATGAAAAAATTATGAAATTTTTAAAAAGTAAAAAAAACCTTAAATGATGAAATTTTTACGTTGCTGACTTCGTTGCCCATGCCGGTTTGCAACCATATTCAAGGAATATTGACAAAAATCTTTTACATGTTTTTGGTAATGATTTCATTACAAGAAATTTCTTACATTGTGATAGAAAATTTCTGTCAAAAATATCTTATTTTATGTCGCAACGAACGTTTGTGACAGGGCCTATTGCTCCGTCACATCTTTTTAGCCGTGACAAGGCTAGCGCAAGACTACGACATGCATCCGTTGTCGATTCTAGGGTGAAGTTCACAACGTCGACTTGTAGTTTCCGTATCTTGAACTACAATAGCTTCTGCGACAGAGTCATCTTATGCAAGACCCTTGTGATGATATTTATAGCCATGTATAATGGTAAAAAAATACGAGTACTATAAGACGTGCGACGTGGTATGTCCGTCGCAATTGGTGTCACAACCGAGCAAAAATTGCGCTATTTCAATTTTAAGAACAACTACAAAAAGCACACAGATTTTTAAAACATGGAGTAAAATACACAAATTAAATATTGTACTAGTCTCTAATCCACACAAAGAATGATAATATTGTACTAGTCTTCAATCCACACAAAAAAAAAGAAAAAAAGAACTCATTATGTCTCAAATAGGGAGAGTATATGCATAAGCATTACTTAAATAGTGTGATCTAAATTATTTAATACTCCCTATAAATATGAAAGATAAAGCTCTTTCTACCCCAAATTTTTGTACCCCGCAGGTTTAGACCAACATTTTGTATTGGTGTAAAACTAATTTTTATTAATGCACCAACACTTTGTGTCCGTGTAAATTTTTTGTTAACGCACCAACACTTGTGTCGGTGTAAACCATCAAAATGTTTGTATATAACTGCAAGGTAAAAATGTGATACTCCCTCCGTCCCCAAATAAACTTCCCCTTTCGTTTTTTCTTTTTCCCAAAAAAACTTCTCTTTTTTCCTTAAAAAACCACTTTTACCCCTTACTTTTTCATACCCTACCTTTCATATCATACATTTTTACTAATAATCTATCCATCACATATTACTTTTATTCATCACATCAAGGGTATTTTTCGAAAGTCAACACTAAAGTATCCCTTCCTTAATTTCCCAAAAAGTCAATAAGAAAAGTTTATTTAGAGACGGAGAGAGTGCAATTTTTGGTGTAAGTGTAGCATGGTTCAAATGTGAAATTTGCACTAAATAGGACTAAAACATAATGACTTTTCTAATGTAGGAGTTAAACTTTTTATTCCCTAAATAGGACTTAATAATGACCTAGTGAGAGGAATAATGTCCAGTAATAATGGACATTTACTTGAATAATGACTACTTCATAATGACCAAAAGTCCTCCATTGGAAAATAAAAACATAGGGTCCTATATTAGGAAAGTCATTATATTTTAGTATTCGGGTTTATTTGAATACATATTACCTCCTACTTATAACAGAGTCAAAGCATTAAAAAGAACAGAGCATGTTGGGAAGAAATAGAAGATGAAGCTTCTTCAACATATCAAGCAACAATGGCGAGACTGTTAACGTACGGCACGAGTTCGCCGCTGCAATGCAAATCGATCCCCCCCGGGAGACGGCAAACCGTTTCGACCCTCTGGTCCGCCATGTCATATCGCTGCACCACCGTCCTCTTCTTGCCGTCAATTCCTTCCCGCGCCGCCTCACAGAGAATCACCAAGCACTCCCCGCCGGCCGGCACCACCCTGCACGCCGAGTATTCAAACAGGTTCAAGCAGACGCTGCGTTTCAGGCCCATGTCCAGCCCGCCGTAGATGTCGACCACGAATACGCCCTCGCTGTGCATCTCTGACGTCACGTAGCACACCTCTCCCTGTACCTGGGTGAATGTCCCGCCGCCGGCGCCGGACGGCATGGCAACCACCCCGCATTGCTCGCTCTCAATGTCCAGAGCCACCAGAAACTGCCCAGACGCCGCCCCCACGGTCATCTCCCACCACACGCATCCGTTCGAGTAGAACCCGCTGCCGGAAAGGCAAGAATCTCCGAGTTCCGGGCAGAGGGCGGAGGAGACCCTCCAAGATCGCGTCGCGGAGGAGTAGATCTCAAAGCAGATGACAGGGGAGCCGAGCAGGGTGAAAGCACAGACCACCTGGTAGTACGCCTCGATATTTTGCAGGGAAGGGGAGAAGGCCAAAACCGCCGCGGGATTGTAGCCGTGGTAGTACCCCGGAGCCGGGAGCTTCCGCCAGTCTCCGGTCGCCGGATTGCAGACACAGTAGGACTCAGAGTACCGGAGAAGAAGCAGCCCGTTGGCAGAGCACAACAGAGCCTTGTCCTGCCCCTGGAAAACAGGAATGGATCTGGGGACTCCGAACGCCAGGCCGTCGAGGGAGAAGAACTTGATAGCCTCGCCGCCGGTCTGATCCTGGTAAAAGTAGCCGGAGAGTTGCCGGAAAGAGAAGCTCTGCCGGTGGGAGAGAATGGGGGTGGATATCCAGCGGTACCACTGTTTCGAAACGCATTTGAACCTCATGAGTGATTTCGCCGGGAGCAGAGGAAGAACGTGCAGCATTATCAACTCATTTCTTTTCACCTCAGAAGTTTTTCCATCCAACTGATGATCATATTCAAAATTATAAACCAAGAAAACTGAAATTGAATGGGGTGTAATCATTACAGTAATTCATCAAACTGTAAAAAGATCGAAACTTTTTTTTCTTTACCAGCTTGTGTGTGGAGGAAGGCCATTTCCCTGGGCTCATACAATCATCAGACGTGTCAATCGTATCATAAAACTCCATCATATTGCTCTGTTTATTCTGTCAGGATCAAATAGAAACTATTAATTTGTGAAAGAAAAGACGAATCCTTATCAAGAAATTAGGAAAAGAGAAAAGGGTTTGTCATATAGAGTGCAATTAAAGAAAGTTAGGGCAGAATACTGTCCAAGTAGGAGTAATCAATTACAGAGTCCTCTTTCATGCAGAATACCCTTCAGAAACAGTAAAACTCATAAAGAGAAAGGATCAGATTATTGAATTTATGACAAAACAGAGTAGAAATTGAAGCAAACTTTGGTTCTTGATTCTAAGATCTTCACAGGGATTAAAAATAACACTTTTTTTACAGCCATATATGCCGATTCTTGGGGCGGTAAAATGCCTAAAGATAATCAATCTGACGCCATTACCCAAACAGGTCATAATCCCGGAAAATCCGATCAAGATCGAAACTTTGCATTCAAGAATTGAGTGAATCGTAAGGGGAAAAAATATGGGATCGGATGAGTCCGACGCAAGAAGATAGAAAATCGCAAAAGGAGATCATCATATATGACTACAAGAATTTGCCTTTCATGAGGGGATTACCGGAAAAGATGTCGGAGAAGATCTGAAACCACCGCGATTGAACTAAAGGGGGAAGCCGGAGATCAAGACGATCAGTTGTGAGAGAGTGGTTGAATTTGAAGTAGGGAGTAAATTGTATGCATCGTGAGAATTAGGGTTCTTCTCAATGTAGGGCATGTTGATTTCATCAGCCCTATCAATAACTAAAATGAGATCACACGATTCACATTTTAACAAGAGAAATTTAACTAAATAGAACTATAACATAATGACTTTCTCAATATAGAACTGTATGTTTTTATTTCCCAATAGTAGTCATTATTCATTATTAAGTCCTATTTAGGGAATAAAAAAAGTTTAAGTCCTATATTAAGAAAGTTTAAGTCTATATTTTCTTTTGTCATTTAATAATACTCCACACTTGGTATACTATAATCATATAAGAAAACCCCCCAAATAAAAGTAAAATATATGTTATGTCCTCAAAGTAGGAGTTCAAACATAAACTCCTCTAAATAGGAGTAATTAAATAAGAAAAAACCTACCTATTCCATCGCACTACTCAATCGGAAAAAATCTTCTTAGACCTTTATGATTTCATTTTTCAAATGCTTTATTTATGCTCACTCGGACCCAATTTTCTCTTTGTTCTTGTTTGGTCCCTCTCTAAATAATCTCTCTTTTCTATTTTAAGGAAAAAGAGAGTGGTGCTGGTTTAATATTTTTGTTTCTAAATGAGTCCCAGCCACAAAAGATTCATTTTTTCTCAAATTCCATGCTAAGACAAACCTAGAATATAAGATGGGGATGGTAAGAGTGTATTTTTTTTGTACAAGCAGCACTTGAGACTAATCAAATCCAATGCTGGTGTGGTGGTTGCAGGTGGACACAAACCTGGAGTCTCCGTGATGGTGTTCATTAGTTTGACATTTTGAATTTGCAATAGTGATATTATATATGATAATCTGTGGCATCGTGCATTACCATATGTGACATTGTATGGTAATATGTGGCATTATGTATTACCATATGTGACATTATATGTGGCCATGTTTGGAATTATACCTTCATTGTTGTCATTGTGGCATTGCGACGGAGACTGTGCAGAGTGTGATGGTGGTGTCGATTATGGTGCAAAGTGTGATGGCGGTAGAGTGTGATGGTGATAGATCTCGTCGATCTCTAGCCCCACTTTGGATGTGAAGATCAAGCGGCTTGTTAGCTTGGTGGCCGCCATTCCCCGCCTCGGCATCCTAGGTTTCGAGTGGGTTTCCGAAGCTCTCTGCACGGGGTTGCAAACACTATAAAGGGGATTCCCTTCAACGGAAAAATCACAGCCACCACCAGCTTCCTTCATTTCATTCTCTCATATGGCCATCCTCACCCTGAAAAAGTAGATCTGCTAGGTCGCATATCTACGGCAATTGATAAAGTACGAGTGAAGTTCGCCCAAGCTAATCTCGTCATGGCGTGTAGCCGATATGACGTTGCTGCTTAACTATTACCGGAGACGAAGAAATGCAGAGAAAAAGGATGGCTACAGAGATTGCTAGGTCCTAGCATTTGGAAGGGAGTAACAAAGTTGATGGTGATGAATTGTTGGGGTGAGATCAGAGTCCATAATGATATTTCTGAAACTGCTTATGTAGCTTGTGATCTAGATGAGGGGATATCAGCGTTCCAGCCCATGGTTAATGGCCAAGAATGATTAACTCCTATTTTGGGGGTTTTATCTTTCAACTCCTATTTTAGGATTTTATCCATGTTTTACTCTTATTTTATTCCTTAACCCTAATCATATCTTCTTTGTTTTTGTAACTGGGAGTGTAGTTTAAGTATGACATATTTTGATTGGTTGAATTTAAAAAGAAAAAAAAGAACGTAGAGGAATTCAAACGATAGTGTTTTATGCAAATTTGACATAATTCATGCATGAAAAAATACTATACTCCTAATAGTATTATTTTCGAGTCAGGAAGGTAGTATGAACGGAAAACAAGCATTATTGACCAATCGCGAAGTCACTATGTAATGAAAATTGGCATCATCGCCGAGTTGCGAAGGTAAGATGTACTCAAAACTAATATAACTATCCAGTAAAAAAGAGAGTAAATAGTTCATTGATTATCAATAAGGAAAATGGTAAAAATGAAATTGAAAATCTTAAATGTACACTAATAGGACCAAACAAGCCCTTTCTATGTAAAGAATTTAAAAGATTCTATTTGTGAACGGCACTTCTATTTAGACCTTAATTTCTACATCTAAATTCATACTTCTTTCGTCTCTGAGTATTTGTTCGCTTTTGACTTTTTTCGGTCAAAATTGGTAAACTTTGATTTCAAATTAAATAAAAATGAGATTAGATATTGATGCAAAAATAGTTTTATAAGATTTATTATATCAAATATTTTGAAAATGTTATTTTAACTAATTAATACGGAGTATAGTATATAATATATATGTCATTTAATTATAGGTCAGAGATTGAAAAAAGTTGACTGAAAAAAAGTCAAAACTGGATAAATATTTAAGGACGAAGGTAGTAAGTTATAGCAAATTGTCACACATTTAAAACTCTTTTCTGCTTGTAATAAAACAAAAGCTACAAGTTATTTTTAAATGTAGTCTCAAATACCGTCTTACTTGTCCAGTTTGGGATAATTTTTTACAAAAAAAAAACGGCCTAAGATTATCTTGTACACGTGAGAGAGGAACAGGTAAACGGGGCCACAAAGAGAGGAATTGATTTCATCCCTTAAAAAAACCAGAGGTGTGCAGGAAAGATTGGGGAGAGATACAATGACCCTTAATTAGAAAGGGCGCCTTCTTTCTAGGAGTTCACAGTTGGGGAGAGACGACTTTGCATGCCCCAAGGTCCCTTATTTCTTGTGTCACACCGGGAAAAAAACACATCCTTGCAAGATGGCTTATATGTAACACCATTATTGTAATTAATAACAATATTCACACCTTTTTTTTTATTACATAAACAATCCCATTTTGCCTGTTTCTTCCTTGAATGAAACATCATTAATATTGTTATTTCTTAAAATATCGTCCTCTTTTTTTTTTTTTGTTTGATTTGCGTCATTGGAAAGAATTTAATTTATATTATATTGCATTGTTGAGGGAGACTTTTTGATTTTACATTTGTTCCCTTCTAGGAAAGGTGAAATTGGGTGGCAAAACCGGCCGTAGCAGCTCAAGATTTGCGGCCGGAAGGTTTCTTTGAGTTTGCGAATGGACGACGGAAACGCCGCCACTCCTCCCTCGTCCCCGACGGAGACGCCTCCCCCTCCGCCCGAGACTCCACCGCCCAAAGACGACTCGCCGCCGCCTTCTTCTCCCCCGCCTCCATCGTGGACTCCTCCCCCGTGGTCGTCGTCCTCTCCCCCTCCGCCCACGCCTCCCGCGTCGTCTTCGCCCCCACCGCCGTCTTCTCCTCCTCCGACACCGCCGTCGACTCCTCCGCCTTCCGTGCAGCCTCCTCCTTCGCCGCCGGCACAGACGCCGCCTTCGCCTGATGGGGAACATTCTCCTCCTCCGGATGTCTCGCCCTCTCCGCCGCCGCCGTCCACAATTCCCCCGCCCGCACCAACAACCCCGGCAGCTCCCTTAACTCCTCCCAACGGAACGGGAAATCCCCCTCCCTCGATCATATTCTCTCCTCCTCCGCCGTTTTTGTCGCCTCCTTCGCCGTCAAACAACCCACCGGGCCGATCGAAAAACTCTCCGCCGTCAAATGATTCTTCACCATCATCCAATGCGGCAATGGTTGACGGGGCCGCAGCGGGTGCCGGAGTATTCATTCTCGCATTGGCCATCATTCTTTTCGTGTGTACAAGGAGGAAGAAGAAACAACAACACTACGTTGACTATATGCATCCCACGCGTCCTTATAGAGGTAGTTTTAGCGTTCTGAAAAGGCTATCTACGGCCAGCGTTTAGCGTTAGCGTTTTTAAAGTAATCTGCACCGTTAAAGTTTTATCCAAAACGCTGACGCTAATCTCTAACATTATTGCCAAACAGGCCCTTAATAAATTTGTTATTTTGTTTGTATACAACTAGTTTTATTCAAGGAAAAGTATAATAACTTGATCCGAGTACTATACATGCACATTTTCCTCACCAATTCTATGATATAAACACTTTTAGGCGGGGAGCACGTGGTTAGGGTTCCTCCACCACCGGGGGGGATGGGACCCGGTTGGGGCCCGGTGAGCACGAGCGGCGAGTACACGGCGGGGTTCTCGGGACAACATCACAACACTCCAGTGCCACCTCATTCGCCAAACATGGGGGGCATGGGAGGGTACAACCAGAGCCAGTTCACGTACGAAGAGCTGGCTGCCGCGACGTCAGGGTTTTCTCAGGCGAATCTGTTGGGACAAGGCGGTTTCGGCTACGTGCACAAGGGGGTGCTGCCCAACGGGAGAGCGGTGGCGGTGAAGAGCTTGAAGTCGGGGAGCGGGCAAGGTGAAAGAGAGTTCCACGCTGAAGTTGAGATCATAAGTAGGGTTCATCACCGCCACCTGGTCTCCCTTGTTGGGTATTGCATTGCTCAAGGACAGAGAATGTTGGTTTATGAATATGTTCCTAATAACACCTTGGAGTTCCACCTTCATGGTATATATGCTTCCATGCACTTCACCTACACATACAACAAAATTTACAGTTACAAGTTTGAACTTTTAATAATATTTGCAGGAAAAGGACAGCCGGTGATGGATTGGCCAACGAGGCTTAAAATAGCAGTGGGATCCGCGAAAGGATTGAGTTATTTGCACGAAGATTGCCATCCTCGGATTATACACCGCGACATCAAATCCGCAAACATTTTACTTGATAATCAGTTTGAAGCGATGGTACATTCTTCGTTAACGTTTTTAAATTTTGATAATAATAGGTTCCTACGTTGGTAAAATCGTGTAAGTAAGTTGATAACGGGAGAAGAGCTCGTAAAAACAACATGATGGTATATTGTAGTGCAATAATACTACATGGAGAAGCTCACAAAAGTTTGTTTATTTAATAAATTAATTTGCAGGTTGCCGATTTCGGGTTGGCGAAACTCTCCACAGACAATAACACTCATGTTTCAACTCGTGTCATGGGAACATTTGGGTATGTTCCTACAGAATGTATTCATAATTTGAAGTCTAATTAAGTTTAATTAATTTCACTATTATTAGGTATTTGGCTCCGGAGTATGCATCAAGTGGGAAGCTAACAGAGAAGTCGGACGTGTTCTCATTTGGCGTCATGCTTTTGGAACTAATCACCGGCCGGCGACCCCTCGATCTTACCAACAACCTCATGGAAGACAGCTTAGTTGATTGGGTAAGTAATTAATTAAATTCTCTCCGTCTCACAAAACATTTTCTAGTTATATTTTACATAGTTTGTGTCCGAGGTTTGAATTGTTTTAAATTGTCTTTGCGTGCAGGCGAGGCCGCTCATAGCGAAAGCAGCTGAGGATGGCAACTACGATGAATTGGCCGATCCGCGGCTGGAGGGAAACTATAACTCTCACGAGATGGGTCGGATGGTCGCCTGCGCAGGCGCTTGCATTCGACATTCCGCCAAAAGGCGTCCTAAGATGAGTCAGGTATAAATTTGGATCATACCATGCCTCCACATGAGAGGCGTGTTAGAATATCATACTCCCTCCGTCTCACAGAACATTTCCCCTTTTCTTTTTCATCCGTCCCAAAAACACTTCTCTTTTCCTATTAAAAAGTTATTTTTACTTCTATTAATTCTTAACTTACATATCACATCACACTTTTTCTCTATTAATCTACCATCACATCTATTTTAGTCATCACATCAAAGGGCATTTTTAGAAAGTTAACATCAAAATACACTCCCTTTAAATTCATTAAAAGTCAAAATGAGAAGTTTTTTAGGGATGGAGGAAGTAACTTTTTCTAATTTATGCACAACCACGAGTTTAAGCTTTTGGTTGAACCGGTTCCGTGACAAGAACATAATGTATGTATCTGTGTATGAATATAGATTGTGCGGGCTTGGGAAGGAGATTTTTCGCTAGACGACTTGAACGACGGTGGTGTCGGGAGGGGGACGACGACGACGAGGAGGTCGAGCGAGACGGGGTTGTACGACACGCGGGCGTACAATGCGGACATGCTGAAGTTTAAGGAGATGGTGATGTCGAACCAGGAAAGCAGCGAGTACGGCGGCGGCCATGCGTCCAACTCCACCACCAGTTTCGATGATTCCGGGGAACACTCCTCCGCTCCCCAACACAACAACTTCAACTAGTGCTAGTATTTCATACAAGTACAGCTTTACTACCACAACGTGTATGGAGATCATTCAATTCGATCAATTCTGATCTATTATATTCATATATTCGAATATTCATTCCATCTGCATGTGTATATATATATATATATATATATATATATATATATATATATATATATATATATATATATATATATATATATTCATTGACATGACAAATACTGGGGAGTATGTGTATGTCGGAGTCATGACCATTGTTATATTCACTCCGATCCGGTCCTTAAAGAATTTACTGTTTGAAAAAGAGGTCTTTTAAAATTTATAATCTGATACTCCCTCCGTCCCATAAAGTTAGTCCCGTTTCGAATAATTTACGTCCTCTAAAGTCTGTCTCATTTCTATTAAAAAACCACTTTTATCCCTTACTTTTTCATACCTACCTATATATCATCATATCATACCTTTTTTCTAATAATCTACCCATCACGTCATACTTTTACACATAACATCAAGGGTATTTTTTTAAAGTCAACGCAAAATTATACCTCCTTATTTTACCATTTTAGTCAAACCGTCCCAAATTTTATGGACGGAGAGAGTATTAGTACTTTATAATAGGGTATGATATGACTTGTAGCAAAAGATAAGTCATGATTAGAAAATAGCATAAAAATTAAACATTTTAGGACGCACCTTTTATCATACTCCCTCCGTCTCAAAGATATAGACATATTGACTAAAGTGATAAAATAAGGGAGAAATAGTTTTTGTGTTGATTTTTCAAAAATATCCTTGATGTGATGGGTAAAAGTATAATATGATCTGTAGATTATTAGGAAAAAGATACGATGTGACAGGTAGTGTATAAAAAAAGTATGGAGTAAAAGTGGTTTTTTAATAGAAATGAGAAGGACTTTTGGAAACACGTTTTTTTTAAATGTGAAGAACTTTTTGGAACGGAGGTAGTACATGAAGGATTTTTTTAGGATGAAGCGAGTATATTTTGATGTAATTGAAATGACTACTTGGCCAATGTTCTTATAAAAATCATCAAAAAAGTTCGGTGGTGCGGAGCGCACGCTTCGTGGAATGTGTTGCCCCAAAACCGCGATTCAAGGAGATAAATGCAAAATTTCTAATAGATAAAAATCAAGATCTGATGAACGTGTTAATACATTGACCAACACCATAAAATAATGAAATGGCCCACATGTTTGAGGAATTGGCCCACTAAATTTTATTTAAAGATGGGATACCTTCCTAGCTAGGTAGATAAAAGTAAAAACTATGAAAATATAAAATAGAAGTAAAAAGTATTTTCAGACCAAAATAGGATTTCATAGTCATTGTTACACGGACACACTCATCACATTGTAATTGCAACACTATCATCATCGATGGCCACCAGAGTGTCGCCACGGATCACCGACGGTTGATTGATCACACCAACAAAATACATTGTTATCACTTTTTCATCACACAGTCAACGCGTACTCTTACACCACACTATCATTATACTCCTATTTTGGTCTTAAAAGACTTAGAACTACTATTTTAATATTTTTCATTTTTTTATATTTAGGGAGCGTGCAACACATGAAAAATGAATTAATCTTAGAATCCTTATATTTCATGTCATCTGGTTAAAACTATTCTGTTTGCGGGTCTTTATCTTTGAAAACATCAAATTCAAAGAACTTACCCCCACCGTCTCTAAATAAACTTTTCTTTTTGACTTTTTGATGATTTAAGGGAGGAATATTTTTGTGTTGAATTTCCAAAAATACACTTGATGTGATGTGTAAAAGTAAGATGTGATATGTAGATTATTAGTAAAAAGGTATGATGTGATAGGTAGGGTATAAAAAAGTAAGGGGTGAAAGGGGTTTTTTAAGGTAAAAGAGAAGTTTATTTGGGGACAAAGAAAAAACGAAAGGAAAAGTAAATTATTATTACTCTTTCAATTACTTTTATAAATAATTTTTTTATTAAAATGTTGTAGTACGTTTTTTTATACTTTTTTTTTACCTATTTTTTGTTTCTTAATACTCTATAACCATAGTTTAAAATATGTGTCAACCGAATTTGTAAAACTATATATATTGTCACAATCAAATAACTTAAAATATTAAAATAAAATAAAAGTATATTATATAGAAGATATGGTTGGAGTGGATATAAAAAAATGAATGTGTAAAACACTATTGATAGTATAAAATTAAATATAGCCTACCTATTTTTACACCTAAGCTCTAACAAGCATTGGATTGGAACAGATTGGTGACGCTCATGACAAACAATGACTCATTAGTCCCTCTGATTTCTAAAACTACATAAAATGCCCTAAATAAAGTAGTAGCTGGTCGATGAGCAGAAATTTGTGGTTTTCTGTTCGATCCGATCGTTAGGACGGACACAAAACGGAACAAAATCTCCGGCGGACGGGAGGATCATGATAACTCAGTCCAAACTCGTCGAGCAACTCAGAGATTACCAGATCAGATCACAGCACAAGTGCCCTGCTCTTACCATCTTCTCCCCCAAATCATTCCTCACCACCTGGTATTCTTCTCTCAATTATTGAATCCGCAATTTTTCTCTCTCTCCAGATTTTGCATAAAATTTATCTGGATATCTATCTTTGAGGTGTGGCATAGTTTTCTGTTTTGCTCAAACGCGGAAGAGTTATTGCGTATCTGATGGTTTTGCTGGAGAAGTTTCTGCATTTACTTTTCTCATTTATATTGTTATTGGATAATCTAGAATTGATGTTTTTTTTCATAAGTGAAACCAATATTTCTTCAAATGTCACGTCAAATCTTTCATTTTGATTGCAATGGAAGCTGGAATTTCAGAAAATGACAATTAAATTGAATTCTAAATCTGGGTTAAGATGTGAAGAACATGAAATTAGAATTGACCACGAGTATTGCCTTCATTTCTTGGGATAATGATTTTGTAAAACGCGTGAGGATTTGTAGAATCGGGTGGTATTTTAATTCTTCCCTGTCTGTCCTGGCCTTTGTGTATTCTGATTCAAAACTAAACCAAAAGAACTAATTTATCCCACTCAAAAGTAAGGTTTTGGGAAGACCTTATAGTACCTTACATCTACTTCAAGAAGTATAGAGATTATTTCGGAGAAAATCTCGACAAACAATAACTATTAGTGTGAGGACCCACACATCTAAACAACACTCACACACAACCCCTGCAAGGACTCTGCAGTGCCAATACGCTGCCTTCTAGATCTTTTATGAGAGTTCTTGCCCTCTGAGAGTCTAATGACTGCCAAATCCAACCTCTACTGCATTTTCCCCAATGTTTAGCTTGCCCAAATGTGTATAGTTCATTACCTACGCAAATTTTTTTTGTTGGCGAGTTGGCGTATTGTTCTGCCTGCATTCTTATTCCTCTCTATATGCTAGCATGTGAAATGTATTCATTTCTCAGTTAATAGTTTTGCTCATAGTCCCAAGCTAGTATGTGCTTTTAGTCTTTTTATTTTTAGTTTTGCTGATTCAAGTAACCTTTTTCATCCGATTAATGCCAATTATTGTTATAATTTCTTTAGGGCTGATGTTGCGGTTGCCATTGTCTGGGCCATTCTGTTTTGCGCGTTAGTAGTATCATCATACTTGGCCCTTCGTTCAGAGCATTACTGGATTTCTCTTTTCATTTTATGTCTCAGTGTCTCCCTTACCGTGCGTCTGAGAATTTTGAGACAGGCAAATGCAAGGAAGAGAGTTAGGCTCTTACCTTTGTCAATGTGAACCTTTTAATTCACCATTGTTTTCCTATAATGCTCAGCTGGACATTTCAAAACATGGGAACACAAAGGGGATTGCTTACCAGGTAGGCTCCATTAGTGTAGATTTTTTTTGTTACTGCATTGTATGTTTTGCTTTTCTGGGAAAGAATGCATTTTGATGTCTTGTGAAATTGAAGAGTATACGACATTGCTCTCCACATTAGTGCTGTATTTAGGTGAGATATATGTTACAAGTATAATTTGATTTTTTAACGTATGGAAAAAGGAGCTCTCTGTTATATCCTTTCCCGACAAGCTGTGGAGCGAAAGCTTTATTATGCATGCACATCGTCTATTTGAAGAATGGTAAACTAGGGTCGTGTAGGGACTATCCATTTCTCTTTACTCACTAGAGGTTGCCGGAGTTGCATTTCTCACTAGAGAGTTAGAGATGTGACTAGTCACACCTTAATCTTTTGTTGAACCAAATCATGTATTTGTCACTAATCATAGTTTCTAACAAGAAATACACTCTGTAGAACACAGAAAGAAAAAAAACCTTCTTAGGCAGAGTAGAACTTAATAGCAGCAGAAGATAAGAACACAATAAGCTGAGCTAGCTAACAAGGTTGTCCCAATTTGAGATCTTCTTGCTAATAACTGAAGGCCAAAAGGCTTTCTTAATTACTTGCTGAGGGAGGGTAATAACAAAAGGCTAAAAGGAATACATGCCCAACAAAACAGAGTTCATGAGGATGACTCTGGCTGCATAACAAAGATTTCTGCTTTTCCAGTACTGAATTGTATTGGTTATTGTATCAACCAGAACCTGAGGTTATGACTGTAATGCCCTTCAGTAAGTATTTTAGTGACAACATCCCCTTCTTCAAAGCCAGTGATTCTCATTGATACCACCAAAGTAGGCATGAAACCTTTTCTGGTTTATCTATAGTAGCCCTGTGCACTTGGACAACTCCTTTAGGGACCCCATTAAACATGAGCTAAAAGAAACTTTATTTTCTAAAATAAAAGAGAAGAAATGTAAATCTCATTTTGGGAGGAAGAGAGTATTAAAGCATGGTAGTGACGGAGGACTTGTTCTCCTTAGGTGATCTAATTGGTTCTTATCTAATTGGAAGAAGTTATGATTTGGTCTAAACAGATTTGATTATAGTTGTATTTATAGCTATTTCTAATATGATGAATATGATTTGATCTGATTCTAATAATAATAAGTAACAAGTAATATTACCTTCGTCATAGAGTATTTGTCCGGTTTTGATTTTTTCAATCAACTATTTTTAACTTTTGATCTATAATTAAATAATAATGTATTGTATATTAATTAGATTAAATAATATTTTATATAATAAATCTAATAAAATCATTTTTGTATAAATATCTAATATCACTTTAATTAATTTGGGGTCTAAGTTTACTAATTTTAATTGGACAGTCAAAAAGTGTACAAATAATCCAGAACGGAGGAAGTAAGTAATAACAATAACTTGAAGAGAACAAACTCGAATCTGAATTAAAGCCCAAACGTGTTTCCGGGCTTAGAATAAGTTAAGAGAGCCCATCTTACAGGATCCAGCCCATGTGCAGGAGGGCATGACAAGCCTATTGACCATCTCTAGTTATTGGGGTAAAGACGAAGAGTGTTTCTTTGGTTTAATTTGGGTGCATATCAATTTTGTAGACGTTCTCACATTAAAAAAATTTAAATTTTTTTATTTGAAAAAATAAATACTTATTTAAGTAGTAAACAATACTTTCTCCGTCCCCCTGTATTTGTCCACATTTGACTTTTGGAACTGTTCATCTAAGTACTTTGACTCATCAAATTCTCTCAATGTGTAAGCCTAAATATAGTCATTGGTGATCTTGTTTGATTTGTCTTAACATATAGATTATTAATATATAATTTTTATAATTTTTTAATATACAAATTACAAGATAAAATGGATTAAAGAAGTGCATTGGATGGTGTGTAAAAATGAAAGTGGACAAATACAGGGTGGCGGAGGGAGTACTTATTTTGCTCATATGTAGATTCATGGTAAATCTTAGATCCATCATAAAATTTGCCTAAAACGAATACTATACCTTTGTGCTCTATGTGTAAACTACCTTTGAATGGAGCATTTATAAACTCCTCAATCTACATCCCATAAAAAAAACATATTTCTTCAATGAATTAAGGACATGTGGTACAACCAATGGAAATTTTTAAATATAATTATATTTAACATATTAAACATATTTGGCATACTTTCTTTTATTCAAAGACATTTGATCACATGAAATTTACATTTTTTCTAATTTGACTCTTGAGGATATAAATACTACTACTTATAAAATTGAGAAAAAGGATACATTTTCGCTTTTCAGGGTCCAAAATGCACAATCGATGTCACCACTATGTCATACACGTGGGGAGTCTCACCATTAAATTATTAGGGAGTACTTCCAATTATTTCTGATCAAAGAACTAATTTGATTAAGACATGTCGTTGTAGGTACTCATGATTTCTTAGTCAACAAGATTTTAAAATAATAAAAAATAATTTTATTATTGTGAGTGTACTTAGAAAAGCAAAACCTTCTAAGTTACGTACGTATCCCATGAAGAGGATCAAGCTATTAGATATACGTTGAGAACATGGTTGTACATTAAACCACATAAACTGACTTTCAAGAAACATGATCAACGAGACAAAAAAGTTATTCTATTATAAACAACAACATTTACTAAATAAATTTTTTGATATACAAAGGAGTACATCGAAATTGCTCGGTTGCTTTTCGCTTTTCGGTATAATAATTTGCTAGAATATTTGTTTGGGAATAAATCTATACACACAAATATCAATTCTATAGAGATTAAACTTCGTGACAAGTTAGAGAAATTGTCTCCAATATACTCCGTATTACTTTTCTTGCGTTCAATAAATTTTCTCCAATTTTTATTTTTTATTTTTATTGCGTTCAACTTATGTCCCTTAATCATATGGCTATTTATAGCCAAGAGATGACTCTTCATTTTCAATGAGTCATTATGAACGTATATTAAAATTGAATAGCTTCAATTATTTGCATTAATCATTCTGACTCTATGTTGATATTTATCAACACTCAACCATAGGCCATCTCCAAAATGCACTAAATATCAAATCAAACGATAGTTTATTTCCGGTCCATTATTCTCAGCTCAAACTCAAAAAATTATTTTCACTACGAGTATATGTTAATTTTCTCTATACTTTTTATATTTTTCAAATATTACCAATTTATTTATCAATTTTGAATTTTATGATTTATTTTTAGTATTATTACGTGTTAAAGAGTATCCCACATCGAAAATCCAATCCAGTATTTCATACCCTATACTAAATTCTATCATGGTATCAGAACAAGTTTTGACTCACCTCGTTTGTCAAGGTGTCCGTCTAGACGTTCATTACTAGCGGCCCATTTGTCTTTAGCCAAGTTTTCCATATGGAGTATGTACCCAACAGCTTGTGGTCTGGCTAACACGATTGCTCGTCTGAAAGTTCATACCCGGCGGCTCGTGGTCCTTTAGGTGTTGCGTTCAAAAAAAATCAAGGGAATGAGGGTCCATTTGCAAGTGGTCAACCGATTAAATTCAAAATGGTCTGGTCGTGCACTTGAAGGGGAGTGTTAAACAGTATCCCACATCCGAAAAATGTGTGGAAAATAATGGGTATATAATCTCTTGAGTTGAATTAACTAATCGATTGGATTCAATCTTTTAATGTGGTTCAACCCAAGTGTCTTATTACCCAATCCAGTATTTCATACCGCATTCTAAATTCTATCACGCCGTATAATGATATTTTTTATTTATTGTGAAATTTCAGTATTTTATTAAATTGAGTAATTTCATTCTTTAGGTTTATTGTTAAAGTTATCTTTTTATTATACTTTGTATATCAATATAAAGCAAACATCTAAAATGAAATAAAATAAGCATAAATTCAAAAAGAAACAAAATACAGCTTTTATTTCTCAAAAAATGAAATCGAGTTATTTAAAATGAATGATTAAATGAAAGAGGAATGCCAACGGTAAGCAACCGATTAAAAAAATGCAGTACAACTCAAATTCGAGTTTGTTAGCAAGATTTGATATGAAAATTTGAGTTGGTTTTGCTTGACTCCCACATAAATATTTTTCTTTAAAGTAGTGTTTGACAACTAGCATTTCATTTTAATTCATGCATTTCAATTCTAAAATTTGAAATCCTGAATTTCAAATGACAAGGGAAAGTGCATGGATTTCAAATTAAGTTTTGTTTTGAATGTAAAAAATTTGATTCAAATCCAAATTCAAAATGCTTAAGTTTCTCAAACATGGAATTTAAGCCAAATCCAGATTTGAAATCCAAATCTATGTTCCCAAACATACCATAATGTTATTTCAATCACAAATTCAAAACACCTACTAAAATAATATTCTCTTTGTCTCCAATTAGATTAAAAGATTGAGTAAATTAGACAAATAGACTTTATGATAATGTGTAATGGGTGTGTACTTATTTGCACTAGATGATTGAAATGTTAGGAGCATCGTAATATGGGAAGGATATTAAAGGGAGTAAATTTGTACAAAATGTGAGCAATTTAGATTATTGTAATCTATTTATGGATAAGAAAAAAGAAAATATTGGGACAGAGAGATTATTACTAAGATCTATGTCGAACACTTGACCAATATTTTATCAATAAATATTCAAAATCATCTTCTTCCTCAAGTTTGAAGCTCATTAATGGCTATCGCATCGAGCTCTTATAGTCGTGTGCATGTAAAATCTCCCCAAATATATATGGAGTAATAATTAAAACTTTTTTATTTACATGATATCTTCTAAAAAGACCTATGATTTTTACGGATTTGATTTCTTATAAAAATAAATACTTGTGTCATCAATAAATTGATCTTTTTACACATCATTTCTATAATGCTACTTATATACAATTTGTACGAAAATACTCATCATAATAATATCCCATCAGCGATAAAAATGTAAAGATACCTTTCCCGGCCTTTTGGCTAAGATCAAGTGTAGTATCTATTCTTATCAGTTTAATATCTGATATGTGGGCTATCAGCCCGCTCGATATTAACTCTATTTTTTTAGGGGAGAGGCCCATCTAGACAGCTTGCTGTCATGGGCTTCTACGCGTTGCCTTTGCGTTGCACTACTGCATTGGCCCGACGCACTCCACATAAAAAAAAGATAAAAATGTAAAGAGAAACATGAATCTTTTGGTTGGGAATAAATTACTGTAAAAGAAGTGGGCGGAGAAAACGTTTCTTAACGAAATCCGCTTTTACATTTGGGACTGGTAAAGTTGTCTCATCCTTTAAGACCTAAGAGCCGACCTCTACAATGGCTTTTGACTCTATCAACACTGCTGACTCCCAATTGCCACAATCTCTAACTTCACCCCAAATTTGTATTCCAACTTCTGTACAACAGACAATTATTATTTATTCACCGCAAAGATAATTGTTATCTGTCTTCCAATTTAGGTCCTGTTTGGGAATAGTTTTAGCAATTAACGTTAGCGTTTTGAAAAAGCTATCTACGGACAGCGTTAGCGTTTTTAAAGAAATCTGCACCGTTAAAATTTTATCCAAAACGCTATCGCTAATCTCTAACGCTATTCCCAAACAGACCCTTAGTGTATGTACTCTTAGCACACCTTAAAAAAATTACTCTTTTTTACGTTTCAATAAACTAGTATTTTGACCCGTGCGATGCACGGGGTCGAACAAAACTGTTGTCGATTTTGAAATTTTTCAATGAAATATTTATTCCAAAATCAAGTAAATATATTTCTGTCACAAATTTTAATCAATGGAAAACAATGACAAAGTAGAATATAATATTTGAAAAATTGAAAGTGTACTCGAAAAAATCTTTTTTAATTCCAATTTTTTTGAAAGACTTTAGTGTACAGAACATTTTTTAATCATGTCTTTTTCTTTACTCGTGAAACAGTGTCATAAAGCTAACCATGAGTAAGCCCCGAATTGGTTAAAAATAATATAGCAAAGGGCAATGTTTGACATTGACTTTTGTTTATAGTCATAGCAAAACATAAGACTATTATATTGAGAATTCTATCAGATGATACCAAATTTTATTCAGGGTATGTAAACCTTTTTCTCCAACGCGATTTCTCGAAACATCAATTACATTGATAATGTTCTTTCACATCTCTTTAATGATTAATCTTTTACCATTACACAATCCATATATTTGGTCAATGTTATTCAATAACATAATCGGTACCCCCTTTTAAAAACTATTTTATGGTTTGAATCCCCTAACATTTGATTNTTGGATAAGTAAAGTCCACTATACTCTTGAGGGGGTAACTTGTGTCAAGCATCAAGAATTCAAGCGGGATTTCAACGTCAGCAGTTTCATCGATCACTTGTCCAAGTTTTCCATCTTTGACTTTGCTTATCAATACAGAAAAAGATTATGTGTCTCTATCAGTGCAAGAGCGTGTAGATAAATGCAATCTCATATTCTTAGCTAACCTATAAACTTTACATTACAATCACATTTGTAAGAATTGGTGGTAGCACCCACAATTTCCTCTCTCTATGCTATGAGTAGACCTGAAAGAATTTGGATAAAATCACCTCCGAGTATAGCTGTCCCCCCCCCCCCGAATGGTTCATTTATGAAGTTATTATTAAAAAATCTCATTACATCTCTCATTTTTCTGAAAAAAATTTAGTGGGTGACTCATGGTACTTGTCACTAATAATGTGACGAACAACTTTTTTAGCAGATTCTCACATCTTGATTTAACAACCTCTTTCATACCTTCAATAAATTCTTTATCATCGGTTAATAACCTCAATGCTTCACATTCTTCCTTGAATGCATTATGTAGAACATTGTTAACTGTCCTCAAGCGCTTATAATTTGTACATCCTTGTTGGACATTTAATACTTCTCAAATAGTATAACTCTCTAGTTTCTATAAGCACGTATTGTAGTCTACCTATTGACGGTCGTTGTTGCCTTTGAACTATTTCCGCACTTTGTGGTTGTACATAAAATATTCTCGAAACTCTTTGCATACGTCAAATTTTATCCCGCATTATATTTTGTATTAAAAATCATCCAAGCTTCAAACATTGAGGCTTTATCAATAATTTCTTCGACAACATCTTTTAGTTTTTGTTGGTGTCTAAAGGTTACGAATTTTAGCCTTGGGTTATAAAAAGTCAATCTCAGTAATGATCACTACCTTTGTTGTATATCAAAAGAGAGGATTATCCAAAAGACTTCACATGCAGATACGTAATGGCAATCAGAATACTTATTTGTTTCATAATACACCATAATATCAACAATGCCAAAGTTAGATTGGGTAACTGCAATAGTTACTTTATCTAGATCTTTATTTACATATTTAAAGAGATATTTGATTGAATTAGATTTATTTCAATATTCAATGTTGTTTGATCTTGAAACCTCA